AGGCCTTCCGCACTGCCTTGAAGAACTGGCTCGCCCGTCAGGCCTGGGGATAAGAATCGCTACCCCGCCCGAATGATGAATGGATGTTGCTTACTATTTTATTATATGTTGTTGTCTTAATCTTGTACTCCCCCCTCCCTGGTTTTCTGTGAGCCGCCCTGAGTCCCCTCAGGGAAAAGGGCGGCCTACAAATGCTAATAAAACCTATAAAACCTATAGTTATTTAATAACATTAAATTATTAATTTAACATTATTAATATATTTATTTATACCCCAACTTAGGGGTGGGTTAAACTGGTGCGGACCGGTACGGCTGTACCAGATGGTGAAATTTAGTGTGTCTTCCGGTACCCGTTTGTCAGGAGGCCCTGTACCGGAACGCTCCCTCTCCTCCTTCACTTTTTCACTCACCCCGCCCATCCTCACCATGCTGCCAAAAAGTTCTCAGAAGAAGAACCAGAAGAAAGAACTGGTGAGTGGCTGGGGTGGGCGTGGGAGGATGTTGGGGAAGAGGGAAGAGGCAGAGGGGCTGCTAGAAGAGTGTGTGCGTGTGTGACAGGCTGTGAGTTTAAAGAGATCTGAATGAATCCAGGAAGAGGGAAGAGGCAGAGGGGCTGGAAGTGTATGCTGTGCACAGGCTGTGAGTTTTAAAGAAGTCTGAGTGAATCCAGGAAGAGGGAAGATGCAGAGGGGCTGGAAGAGTGTGTGCTGTGCACAGGCTGTGAGAATCCAGGAAGAGGGAAGAAGCAGAGGGGCTGGAAGTGTATGTGTAAGGTGGTCAGTAATATTGAAGACCGGCAAGGACAGCCATATTTCCTCTGTAAATAGCTGTTTTATTGTTCTGTGTACTTATTTTATTCTTATTTAAGTAGTAAGTGCACACAATAATACATTTCCTTTTTTATATTTTCTTTTTGTAGGTCATTCTTTGGGGCAAAGAATTCAGTGACATCAATTTGGCCACTCCCATCCAGTCACATAACTGCTAAGCCACTTCCACCCAGTCACATGATCACCAAGCCACTCCCAGAAAACAGGCCACACCTACAGAATAGGTTCTAATTTTTTTTTAAACCCACCACTGCCCCAACTGTATAATTTTTGTAAACAACTGAAGGTGGCAAACATATCTAATACTCGTCCTCCTCTTATTTTCCTCACAACAGCAACAACCCTGTGAGATGAGTTAAGCTGAGAGAGTAACTGGCCCCCAATCATCTAGCTCAGGGGTGTTAAACTTGTGGCATCACATTGTCATCATGTGACATATCACAAGTTTTCCCCCTTTCGCTAAACCAAAGGTGATCATTGCCAGCATGTGATGCAGACAGCCCAAGGGCTGTGAGTTTGACACCCCTGATCTTGCTGCTTTTTCATATCTAAGGCAGGACTAGAACTCCTGGTCGTCTGGTCTCTAGCCTGGTGCATTAACTACTAGACCAAATTCTCCATATATTAGCTATATAGGAAAATTAATAGTTTATAGTATTGGCATAATTTGTATTAAATATATTTATGACATATATTCATGAAATATATTTCATGACATATGACATATATTCACATACATTCATGAAAAATGTATATAGGAAACATTTTTTAAAAAGCAATCTCAGTCTAATGAAGGAAGTGTGCTGTATGTCGCTAAAATGCACATATATACATTTGACAATTAAAAAAAATAACATGAATAGTTCAACTATCTTTTAGTTTCTGGGTTGAATTGGTAGAATTATATCTATAATCACGATGGTGAGATGATCTATTATGTTCAGCACAATACATAGCGTTTGGAGCTCTAGGTGACAATCAAAGTAGCATAATTTACAGAAGATTTTTCATTGTGCTCATACAGGTATCTCTATAATAGCTGTTTATTAAACTTGCAGAGAATCTTAGAACTAAGAGAAGGAGATTATTGCTCCATATCTCGCAATGTAGATTGTTTTCCCTAAGAGACTGTGGGAAGTGATGACTTTAGGCTGGTAAATTTAAATATTTGACTAAGTAATTCCTTCAGAGGAAAGTTTGTAGGCAGGCCATGCACAGCTTCCAATTACTTAGTTACTAGTTCCTGGTAATTTGACAATCATCTTTCAAACTGTGTTATGACACTGAAGTACATTTTGCATGAGTGTGTAGAATAACTAATGTGTGATAGATTTTTAAATCTTTGATTCTGTTTCCAGCTGAGTCTCCATTATAGCCTTATAAAATATTGGACAAGTCTTTCTCATCCAAGGCAGAATTGTCTCCTTAATCCCTGACAGATTTATTTCTAGAAAGAGAAATCCATTCAAATCAGCTGCAAAAATGCCAATTTTGATATGAGGCAGCGGACCTTTCAAAATACTTTTCTTCCATTGTTCTCATTAGACACTGCTCAAAATTAACTCTAGTTTATTTATTATTCATAATATAGAATTATATTATTTTACAGCAAATTTTCTTCCCATTGGAAGAGGGATCAAACTTAATGGCTTTATGAAAGCTTGGCTACTCAAGGCATCATATTGTATTCTCTAACATCAAAACTAAAACAAGATGTTCTGTAAAGGCTTCTACAAATGGATATGTAGCAAATCAATGCATTTAAAAATGCATTTAAAAAAATAAATATTCTTTGCTAATTCAAATCAACATCAAAAGGGAAAAGCTATGAACTCTTCCTCAACTCTGCAATCATTTTACATGTCCAAATATAGACATATAGATAGCCCTTACTAAGGGAAACAAGAGTATGTTTATAATCTTATTCCAGTCTCCTTCACTTTACAGACCTAAATGTGAGGATGGGTCACAAAGTCATTTTTTTTATTATTCTTCTAAAGGCAAACAGTTGCTACACAAGGCAACTTTTAAATGAGGACTACCTGTACTATCACAATAAGTTCAATAGGTCTTGTTTTGGTGCTTCATTTGTAACACAGCACAGAAACAAAAGCAGAGTGTCAAAAGCTAAAACAGCATTGCTGGTCATAACACAATGCTTAGTAAATTAGAAAACTATCACCACCAAGTTAAGGATCTCATTACTAATAGCAAATATGGCATTTTGTTTTTTTAAAAAAGCAAAAAATCTAAAGCTTTAGAAGTAATTCCGCAAAGTAAAGAACAGCCATGCTAACGCAAACAATATAGGAATACATACAGTGCATAAGAGAGGAAGAAGAGGAGATGTTAGCATTTTTTTATTCCATAAATTAGACTTTGAAGACTCGGATTAGAGAAATGGTGACTGAGGTTTTACTTGGTTAAAAAAAAGGATTAGAATGAACCCAATGATATAATGGCCCCATAGCTGCTTCCCTGTTTTTTTGTTTGCTTAGGAGGCTTAGGATTGGTGGGTGTGAAATATAGGAAGAGTGTAACAGAGATGAAAGGAAAACTTGTATAAATGGAAATTTGTGACCTAGGCATACATAGTTGAAATCCACCTCTCCATCTTTATTTTTCTTATTGCTAGGGATTTTTTCTTTCACTAAAAAATTAGGTCTGATGCATAAAAAAGAACACTGATTATTTATGTTTGGGGCACATTCGGTATACCACCCAGAACTTTCCATGAAGCCAAATACCATTTTTTCAACAAAAATACCATTTTTTCAATACACCGAAAAGGGATGTGATGAGAAAACTCCTGAAAGCTAATGTTTAAATTAGTAAAATGAAAATCTCAAATAATTGTCCATTAAAGAAGAGCTGTAATGGAGGAAATTAGCAGCTGGAGAAAAGAGTAGGAGAAATAGACTCATTCCCTTCCATTAAGATTACGGATCTACCATGAGGCCAAAATGATAAAAATTGACTTTGGATGGAACTACATTAAGTCACATGATTTATGCTGTGATACACATTTCATCATTTTCCCTCTTGCTCCTCTTAGGATTTCCATGTGCAGTAACATGCCCCTGGATTTTTTTATGGAGATTCTCAATCATCCAGATGATGGTTATCCCAAAGGTGCTTTTTCCAAAAGGCAACTGGACTTTTCTGGTTTTTTTTCCTGTTAAAAATATTTTGCTTCTCATTGAAGAAGCTTCTTTAGTTCTAACTGATTGGTGGGAAAATTCTAGGCTTTGAAGACTTAAGAGTAGAGAAATGGTGACCAGGTTTTTCTTGGGAAATAATAATAATTTGTATTTAAACATAATTTGTATTTAACATTTCTTTATCTGTGGCTGCTATTTGAAAAGAAGTGTTAAGAAATTCCTATCTAATTGTCTTCAATTTATTATGATTCAGTGGGTTACATAGAAAGAAAATACACAGTTCAGTTTATTAGTTTACCTATTAAATGACTTTGATTTCTTGAATCTGGGAGGTTAACTTCTGCATCCTCTTGAAAGTTTTCTCTTACTACATTGACCTGAATGACATTAAAAAAAGAAAACAATAAAAATCTCTTTCAAGTATCTCTTCGGAAGAGCACTGATAAAAGCCAAATTATTTCAGAAAACACACACCCACCCACAATTTTTGTTCCTTTGTTATCACCTTAGTGATAATTTCTTAATATAATTTCCAAATCATACATAGTAAGAATTTCATCCTGTGATTAATGACTTCTAAATTGGTTCTAAATGCTTGAATAAAATCAACATCATGCAGCTATCAAGAGCAAAATTTGAAGACAAATAATCCTTAAAGGAAAAACATCTTCTATGGTTCATTTTAACAAAAGCAAAGAAATATAGTTAAATCTCATGATTTACCTTCTTTGGAAATATTATGTGTCATGATATTTATTTATTCTAATAACATGAGATGGCCATGAAAAATACTATAGGAAGTGCCTTCTTTCAGTACTAATACTACTTAGGCTTTATGTCAATAACTGCTGACAAACCTTTAGCAAAGTGCAATGCATTATTGTTATCAGAGGTGAATCTAAATATAAGCAGTGGTTTGTGAAGTCTCCATATCCCACTCTCCCTTGTATACATTAAATTCCATTTTAGATTAATCAATTTGCGGGAAAGTCCCAATACTGAGATATGATGTCTAGTCTAATTTCAGGCCATTTGTAGAAGAATGATACTGAAACAGAATAAATAATTTCCATTGTAATTGTGCTTCACTATCTTTAGTATAACATTGGAATATTTACTTGCCCACCTTATATGCCACTTAGTTAAACAGTGCCTTAAGAGTACATGAAAAACAAGATTACCAACAAATGAATGCTACAGTCTAATTCACCCACAGCTCATGAGCATTAGTGGGCTGGGTCAACTTTGTGTTAGTCTTGAACAATTTCATTACTTCTGACCCCTTCACATATACTACATACATAGTGTTCATATCAGTTGTGATATAGAGTAGTAGAACATCTATAATATAATAGAATAGTAGAATATCTGTAGTAATTACATATATTCTCTAGGCAATTGGGCTTCATGGTTCTTAAAGGGATATGTAACTGCATACATATGAACATTGTTACAGCACACAATTGTTCATAACATTCTGTCTTGAATGGTAAATATGCATCCATTTAATGAGATTCTAAACCTTTAATCAACCTACTGTAAAAAAATTGATGCTGCAACATATCAAAAAATAAAAAGTTTGAAAATCCACTGTTATGATACACCACTTAAGTAATCCTTTTCTTTCTTTTTTATTCCAAATAGTTTAATGAGCTAATGCTAGTTAATTAGAGAGCTGAGGTGGCACAGTGGTTAGAGTGCAGTACTGCAGGCTACTTCAGCTGACTGCTAGCTGCAATTCGGCAGTTCAAATCTTAGAAGGGTCAAGGTTGACTCAGCCTTCCATCCTTCCAAGGTGGGTAAAATGAGGAGCCAGATTGTTGGGGGCAAGAGGCTGACTCTGTAAACCGCTTAGAGAGGGCTGTAAAAGCACTATTAAGCAGTATATAAATAAGTGCTATTGCTAATTTATTGACTGATTTTTATATTTAAAAAAAGGATTTTAAAATTGCATAAAGCAGTAGCATATGTAATCCAGTATTTGAACAATATGTTCTAATAACATTTGATTTTTAACTTAGCAGAGTACTGTTTGCAGAAAGAATAAACAAAGCCTTTTCAGCCTATTTTGTTGTTATAAGGAATAAAAGTATATATTATATTTTTATATTATATTTTATTAATTATACTATAATATAGTATACTATACACTATACTATACATCACACACATACACATACACCCACACCCACACACTTATCTTTATCCAATAAAATGAAATGTATTTCTTAAAGATATAGCTGAATGGCTAGGATTGTTACAATTGCAAAGCCTCTATTAAAGGAGACAAAAATGCTTTTAAATTACTGATCCATTAAACAACAAGAAGAAAGTTTTAAAAGAAATGTTAATGTTGGCTTGTTTTTCCCCACACACCCCGCCCCCTCCCTTTCTTTCTGTACAGTGAAGATATACCCTAAACTGTCAGCACCATGTTAAATGGGGCATAGTTAAATTGAGTGGCTGTGATAAGGTGCTCTGCTTTGTTATCAAAGTTCTACATCAGTTGGATTGAATTTCCTACATATGGCACATTTCCAGACTTCCATTCTTTCTCTTCCTTTCAGTGACATTGCAAGGGCAGACTTAGATATGCTTATAATTTGTGGTTTTATAATTCAGGGAACATCTACATTTTCAAAGAAAAGATACTATAGAAGCTACCTGCTTTTATAAAAAAAAGGCAGAGCAAAAGAGGGGGGGGACAGTTTTGTAACACATACACATGCACATACACAGAAGTCTTGGAAAGGTTCTTAACGGATGACCTTGCACATCTTCCAGGAAAGACTTTATTTGCATGAAAGTAGATAAAAATATGCATATTATATTCTAAAGTTGATCGTTTTGTCCTTAAGAGTCATAAAGACTATTTGATTTTCAATTCCCATCAGGTGGAACTTCTACATTATGTTTTATCTCTGCACTATATAATCTGAGAAATGGGTTCATATTTCAAATCCTAACAAAAACAGGATTGTTTATTTGTTTGATTGTTTGCTTTGTTTTATAAAGGACCACAGGAAGAGTGATCTTTGTAAAACAGAGTAAGGGAAAACAAGCTGACATGCAGAACAAAGATCTTTCATTTGTGCTTGATGAAACAGCCTACTGGGAACAGATGGGATCCCCAAGAAGGTTTATTTTGTGTATTTCATTCATGAGATAGTTCTTAGGAAGTAATCTGTCCCTTAGCTAGCCGTTCTAAATTATTCAGAATTTTAAAAAATGGATGTGTCAGTTTTTCCCACCCATCTTGAGTGTTTATATAAACAGAAGGGTGGAGTATAGATTTAACCCAGGTAATCCTCGACTTACAACCATTTGTTTAGTGATTGTTCAGTTACAGAAAAGCATAATTGATGATCTTATTTCGCACTTACGATTATTGGTCAGGTGATCAAAATTCGGATGCTTGGCAATTGGTTCATATTTATGGTGGTTGCAGTGTCCTGGGCTCATGTGCTCACCTTTTGTGATCTTCTGACAAGCAAAATCAATGGGGAAGCCAGATTCACATAACAATTGTGTTCCTAATTTAACAATTGCAGTGATTCGCTTAACAGCTGTGGCAAGAAATAACATTTAAATGGGGCAAAACTCACTTAACAAAGGTCTTGCTTAGCAACATAAATTTTGGGCTCAGTTGTGTTCATAAGTCGAGGACTACCTGTAATGAAAAACAAACAAATATTTCCAGGAAAGGGGCCTAACATTATATTTTTATATAAAAATGTGGCCTCTGAGGGATCAGGGTAGGGAAAAAGGCACATACCACCTCCTATATACTAGGCTCCATATTGAGATTGCAATGATCCCATTCAAAAACATCCATGCTGCTCCAAATCCCAAAGCATCTAGTTCTGCTGTTAAAGAAGCCTGGTTCAAGCTCTTACATTCCTAAAACAGTTACAACTTGCAACAGCAAAATAATTGGGAAACCATTTCTCATTTCAGAAATTTAGTATGCTTCCTAATAGACAAAACCCAAGTTTGTGCTGTTTTTAATTTACCAAGTTATCTTCAAATGTCTAACAAGCAAAATCACTGTACATAAGTAGGCTTAAGTAAATATTTAAAACTATCAATACTGTTGTTTTGCAATGTTTGAAGCAGCAGATACTAGATACCTAACCACCATTTCTTGCAATGTATTCCTTGTAGTATCTGCTCTCTATGAATCACACAATGGACCTTGATTTTAGCGAAAAATGACACGGAACTGGACGGCGCTGCTGTTATTATTTTTATCTCAATCTGTTTCAATTACTCCTAAGAGATAAAAAGAAGGATTCTGGGTAATTTTCAGGGTCTTGCTTCAAAGCACAGGTGGCCTGTGCAAATTTTAAAGCCGGCTGAGTCAGTTTGCACTGTTTGTTAGCCCCTGAAATAGCATAACCGGATTCCCTAATCAGATCATTGCATGTTGACATTAATCCATCACTCCCAGTTCTGAACTGTGTCCTTTCACCATTACATGGGCATGTACCTTATAGTAATACAATAACAGTCAGGAAGAAAGGAAATTCTTAAGGGAGTCTCCTCTTATTGCTTACCAAGGCCTCGTTTGGTATTTCTATGTCAACCTTTGTTTTGCTGTTTTTCTTCTGGATTCTTTGAGTATTGACAGAGTTGCTTGGAAGAGGAAAACCCTGGGATATGCTCTTAGACACGCTCCTGCAGGAAACATTTTTTGATCCACTTTCTGTCTGCTGGGCTGCCTTCTTATCAACTCTGCAGGTAGAAAGTGATTCCTCTGATCAATTACGTTGCCCTTCTTCAATCACTCTACCTTCCCTTCTGCTTCTTTACGCTTAGTGAAATCACCCTGTATCTTTCTCCCCCTCTGGACTTCTGAGTGATAAATGTGGCTAACTAGCCTTGATCAAATCTGTCACTTGCAATTTCACAGACAAAATTAGAGCTGCCGCTTAGGTATAATGATTTGTTTTAAATTTTCTAGGACTGTGAGCCAACTTGGAAATTATTGTACAATTATTGCTGGGTGTCTTTGTGACCTAAAATCCGGGAAGCGGTGAAAGTAATTACTTTTGTGGGTTATCTTCTTTGTATACTAACAATCTGCAGCCAGTTACAAGGGGGCATTAAAGAGAACACAAAGGCAGATGCTGCATTTTTAAAAGAAATCTCTCTGTGATTGATGTATTAAATAAAAATGCCATGCTAAAAAACTGTATTCGTTTTAATAAGGCTGACTATTCTTTAATTTCAAAGACCACTGACCTGGCTAACAAAAAGCAGATAGAAATGATCAGACCAGCCATGTGGAGCTGTTTTTATGGGGATATGTCACTCTATTTGGCAGGTGGTGGTGGTGGTGGTGTTTTGCATGTGTGAAGGCACATCTGCATTATAAACAGCTGTCTCCCTAAAAAAAGAGAAACAAAAACGAAGCGAGAGCTGGCTACGAATCCTCTCCCAGACATGGCAGCATTTTTATGGGAGATTCCTGAAAGATGGAATAGCATTGCGATCTCTTGTCAGCCTTCTGAAATACAGCAGCTCAGCACAGGCTGGCCTCTCTGAGATTGTACTGTTTGATCATGTTCAAAGTTAACAAGCAAAATTATCAGAACATGGTTGTTTCTCCCCGTCCGCCGGTTATTTAAGAATACACAATTTCCTACAGTCTTAGCTGAGATTAAAAAAAGCAAATTACAATTGTCAAGCAACAATTGGAAGTTGAAGAACAATCAACACAGAAGATAAACTCAACTCTCCCTTTCCAAAAAAGAAAAAAAAGGATGAGACAAACCAGGTAAACTATTGCTCTGCTGAATTTTTTTTTAAATGGCAACAAGTTCCAGGCCATAGTTAAAAATAAATAACCCTACCATTAAAGAGTGGTACCACTAAAGAGGAAATAAAAGGAGATTTCTATAGAATGAAATGGCCTTGGGCTTCATCACAAAGGCTTTAAAGGATTTGTAATCTATCACCAACTTCTAAAGAAACAGCACATGAGCCGAACTTTAAGTGCTAGTTCAGTGAGCTGCAATTAGGCTGGCTGATGAGGTCCTAAATGTAAACCCTTTGAGCCAATGAAAAAAGGGCATGTGTGTTCCTTTATTTATTTTTGAACTTCCAATAGAACCAATGCATTAAAATTAGAATTAGTTTTAGAATTACTAATAGAACCTGGAAAGTTACCTTATTAAGCTGCTGTAACCTGGCATCTCTTTATCCTGCCTGTTCTCTGCCCCCTTGTGTGTTTGTGTGTGTGTGTGTGTGTGTGTGTGTGTGTGTGTGTGTTTTGCCAGCATTTCTTTCCTGGTTTCCAGACCGAAACCCTTGCCAACAGATCTTTGGAGTTGGCTGGTGGTAGAAGTTACTTTTGCCTATCTCCCTCACTCCATTCCAGCCAGTCCACAAATCTTTGGGCTTTTCTCTTTCTGAAGCAATTTTAGATAATGATTGCAAAGTTCTTTTCCCCACTTTTAACTCCACTACTCTGCATTGTTAAGTGAGCGTCTTGCAGTTTCTAAAGAAGCTTGCAAAGCCGGCCACACTATTCTAAAAGGAAAGATTCCAAATCTAAAACACAGCTAAAATTCTTACCTGTGTAAAAGCTCTTTCATGAAGTTGTCTTTTCCTGAGCTGGTAGCAGTAGGGCTGCTTTTCTGTTCGGATCTTGCTTGGCTTGGGTTACCGTGTACAGCCTTTGCCAATTTTTTTCCTTTGGGAGCACCATCTAAAAGGACAGACGTTTTCCTGTTCAGCTCGTTTTCCGCTTCGCAGTGCTGCTCGCTTTTCTTTTTGTCTTTCCTTTTTTCGGATTTTGCTTGCTTACTTCCAAAAGCTGAACTTTTTGCCTCTTTCTTTTCTACTTTGACTTTTGAGGTATCCGTTTTTCGGCTGTTCAGGGCAGGGAGTTTACTTTTACGGAAACCAAACCAGCTGGCAAGAGAAGGGCCTCCGTTTTTTTGTTTCATCTCAGGGCCAGATGGGTTTTGCCCTTGTCCTTTCTGCATGTTCTCTTGGATGCACAACATCACTTTTTCTTCTATTGTAGGATGTGAGCTGGTTGAAAGCGAAGCCTTTCCAGGCGTTTCGGGACCATTTAGACAAGTTTCTGGCAATGCTGTCTTGCTTCCTTCGGTTTTGTGATGACGTTCAATCCTGTCCATGTTTTTCTGAAATGGGAAAATTTGGCCTGGGGAAATACTGGTTTGGTTGATTTCTGTTTGAGTAACACTTTTTTCCATTGCTGACTGACACTTGGAAACATCACTGCTTTTTTCATCTTGACCAGGTGTATCTGGAACTTCACTCTGGGATGCTGATTTGTGGATCCCCTTTTTCAAAACACTGGTGCACATATCTCCTTTTGGAGACGTTCGAAAGGGCAGCTTGCTTGGGTTGCTCATCTGACTATTGGAACCACTCACTTTTGCACAAACGCCTGGCCGAGTGCAAGAAACCGCTGGAACTGCCTCTGCTGTCCCAGCTGATTCGGAAACAAACTTCGTTTGCAATCCCTCCCCTGCTGAGTTTTGCCTGGTTAGAGAATTCCCTCGTTCTGATGTATTTGTTATAATCTGGGTTCTCACTTTTCCCAACCGTTCTGGGGAAGGTGCATGCAATAGTTCTTCAGTATAAATACTGAAACTCTGACTACGGGCCTTGGCTCCAGTCATACCAAGAGCTGGCTTCAGGTATGCTTTATTACTAGAAGAAATGGATCTTTTAACAGATTTGTTTTCAAATCTGTCCGGCTCTATCAAATTGCAAGATTCAGGGGAAATAGGGAAAGCTGGGTCCATTTTGAGTTTCTTTGAGAAACTTTCCTTTATTTGAGGCTCCGGACTCCATTCTTCAGGGTCTGCTAAGTCTATAGTGGTTTGAGATGAAGATTCACCTTGCCTCTGTTTATCTGAATTCACGTGGCATTTAGAGGCTGCATTCATACAGTCTTTTTCCTGCTTTCCTGGCACAGTGGAACTCCTTCTGACAAAGCGGGGAGATGTTATGAATAATTTCAGTCCCACAGACAGATGGGGCTTCAGCACCTTGCCAGACAAGTTTCCATCATCCCTGACCTGAGATAACAATGGAGTTGGAGAAGGGTTAATTTGAGGCAGAACACTCTGTTCCCCAACTGTACTTATGTGATGCTCCAGTGAAGTGGAGAAACTCTCGGGAAACTTTGGTTTCTGAGGTACACCAGTCTCCTGAGACAGGGAGCTTGTATCTTGTGTTGTGAAAGCTGTAGAGACAACTCTGGAATTATACAGTTCTTGGTTGCTGTAGAACATGGGCAAGTTTGAATTTGGTGGACAAATTTTCTTGGTGAAAATCTTGGAAGTGACTTGGCTTGTGGCAGGGGATTTTTCTGATACGCATTTGCCTTCTCCCTTGTCCTGAAAGTGGTTTAATTCAAGATAGTTTAATTGAGGTGTGACAGGCAGTTTATCGGTTTTTGTTTCATAAACAGCAACATTGTGGCAAACAGACACTGAATTTCCTTTCTGTGGTGAGAACTGAACATCTTTTCTTGTGTCGCTGAGAAAACCCGCTCCTGGTTGGTCAAGAGCAGGGGGTGAATGTTCATAAAGTGATCTCATTAAGAGTGAAGCTGATCTGCCAGGAGGAAGGGGAGGGGGAGGAGATCTGGCTTCTACTGGTGGCCCTTCATTATGGACATCTCTGGTTGGTTTCTCTTCATTGTTAACAGACTCTAGAATATGCTGAGGCAAGGCAGTTGATTCTGAGAGCAAAATCTTAGTTTCTGGATGAGCTAACATCTTGCAGTTATTCAAGCCTACTTTTGAATTCTGATTTGGATTCAGTATCTTTTTGTGCCTTGACCATTTTGCAGGTGAGGCTGGACCTTTAACCAAAGTCTTAAAGCAATGGGGAGAGACTAAAGGACAGTTTTCAGCCATGGCCGGTTTAGCTGTCTGTGGTAAAAACTTGTCTCTGCTGGAAACTCTTGTTAACTTGTGTTTTTGATTATTACCTCCCTGGATACAAGAAGGGGAGCTCAAATTGGAAGAAATACTGCATGCGGGTTTGGTTAGTTTTTGCTGAGAGGTATTTTGACACAGTGGTTTTCCAAAATGTATAGGGCAATCTCTGATGTGGGGAGAAGGGACATTTGCACAGTCGTCCTTGAAATCATTTGGGGCAGTTTTTCTCTCTGCTTTATTAACAGGTATTTGCATAATATGGCAGCTTTTAGCATCTATTGCTTTCTGCAAATTAGATACTCCCTGAGATAAACATGTAGTGTTTTCTGCATCGCAAGGCTGGTGAATTGAAATTTCATTTCTAGTTACAGTAACAATTCCAGCCTGATGTGAATTAAATTCAATAGGTTTGCCATCTTCGGCATCGAATATTACAGTAATACATTCTTCTGAAGAAGTCTTCTTTATAATTTTTTGCTGCTTAATAAAATTACATGCCTTTGTCCTGATGTCTGAGGGAGGGGCTTGTTTTTCAGAAGATGCCAGCTGAGTGTTTTCTTTCTCCCCAAGCATATCACAGCTCTCGGTGTTCTTTTCTGCAAAGGGTGCTAATGACAAAGATGACGGGCTTTTCTCGTCGCTGCTCTCTACATGTAATTCATCAAGGATTTCGTTGTCATCAGTATCTGAAAGGTGTAAATTAAGGTCTCTCCAGCTTACACTGGAAAGACTTTTATCTATCTGCAGCACAGGCAGCTTCATATCCCTGCATGATTTTGCACCCAACTGAAATCCATTGACAAAACTAGTCAGTTTTTCGGGCTTTTCCTTTGAATTAAAGTAAGACCTTATTTCTGATAAATGCTTTCTATCAGGTTCCCAGCCAAATAAGCTGTCAGAAACACTGTGAGTTAATTTATTACAGTAGTACCAACAGTCTTTTCTTGGTACTTCATGCAGTAGTACTAAAGATGAAGAGTCATCATCCACATCCTCGTGGGAATCAGAATCATACACAAAGATTTTTGGGTGATCTTGACAAGCTACCTCCATTTCAGGCCTGCCATTGGCCTGTTCTTTCTGAGCGCCATACTTAACTCCGGGAGAATAGATTCCTTCATTAGAATCCATGCAATCCTTATAGCCCCATTTGGATATAACCGAAGGAGGTTCTAATATTTTTTTTTGCTTCTGTAGCTTCTTCAGCCCGTCCAAAATGTGGTTTTCTTTGATGCGCGTTGGAGGTAGGTCATCAGCAGGACTGGAATGGTTGCTGGGGAGTGAAGAGCCTATACTTATCCTTTTATCCCAGCTTACTGACTAATTTGAAATGGGAAAAAGAAAATATAAATGTTTAGTTGTTACTGCAAAATTAGCAGTTATTAGAAATAAAAATGCAGGTTTTGAACTTCACCCCTAGATGAAAGTAGGAGGAATTTCCACCCCCCATGACCCCAGATATAAGAAGTTGTAATCCTCATCCTTATCATCCTCATCCTCATCATCTGTCAAATGGAAGCAAGCCCCAGACCAAACTATGAGTGTTCATTACAATCAGCTAGGGATGAGACTTTGAATAAAAGTGAATGAATTGGAATGGGTGAGAAGGTTAGGGGAGGGGAAGGAAAGGAAGGGGAGGAGAGGAGAAGGGTGGGAAGGGGAAGGGATACTTCAGATTAGATATCTCATTTCTGCTGGAAGTCACAATATTTCTAGATTTATATTTAAGACTCTGATCTCAATACTCCCCATTTATTTCTCCTTCCCATCATGCCCTCATTGTATAAGCTAAGCTTAGGAAGCACCCCTTGCCAATAATATTTTTTTAAATGTAGCCACTCTAAATTTTCTCCTAAATCAAAGGTGACCAGTAACTTACCTTTTTCTTGCATGCTTTCCCATCATTCCAGGAGGAGCTGCTGGAATATTCACTGCAGGCGCTAGACAAGGAGAGTTCACTGCTGCTGCAGCTGCTTCTAGGATAAACTTGGTGAGGTCCATTCCCATTTAACTGATTCTGGCATTTCAAGGCAGGTATTCCAGATTTCATATTCTGCTGGCATTCCTAAGGCAACAAAGCAGATGACATTATTTGGTGGGCTGAAAAAAAAAGGAGAGAGTGACAGCATCTTCCTGAATAAGATGACAAATCAACAGCCTATTTGTATTCATACCAGTACAGATACAGTCTAACTATTGAAGGAATATTAAAACCATCATGCTCATATTTCATCCTTATTACAAGATTAACATTTCTCAATATTTGATTGTTTTAAAAATTTATTTCTTTAAATTATGCACGCCTTATCCGAGCTAGTTTTTCAGTGACAGCCTGCTTGAAATATGCAATGTTTATTAGCAATGTGCTCTAGAAAGATACTGGAGCTTAAGTTAAAGCAGTACAAGAACATCTTGACAACTGCATTATAGCCCCACAATGTAACAGATGAGGCCCTAGAAAACTGGGCAAGGTAAATTAATTTAGTGCCCCAACTAGAATGTCCACGGAGAATGAAATCTCTCCATTACAGTCTAATTTTGGTTTCCTATCTAGTTTAAAGCTTTGTCTAAGAAAGTCTCTAGCATAGGACAATCCATCTTTGTGTCACTGTCCGACAGCTAAAACCTCCAGCTTATGCTATTTATTGACACTTTATGGCTTCCTTTACTACTTGTGTAGTTATCAGCCTTTTCCAAATGCAATCTCGGCTTCTGTTTCAAGAAACAGAATAATGAAGAAAGAAGCAGTGCAGAAGTTGGTAGATGTGTTTTAATTTTCTTCCAGATGAGGATTTTATTTCCTACAAAGGTCAGAGTGTCCCGCATGCTCAGAAATCTTCCGTGTAATGTGTTATAAAGCCTCTTTATGAAATGGATCACAGACAGTTGTGTAGCTTGTTTATTTACAATATTTGTAAACTACCCCAAAAGAAATGATAATGAGTACAAAAGGAATAACATATTTGTATATCCTTGGCATCTTGCACCAAGTCCCACGAATCTCAAAAACATTTTTCTCACATTCATGAGCATTGCAATCATATGTGCCTACATTGCTTTACATCATTTGGAATAGATAAAAAATAATCTACTCTGATATCCATGCAAACAGGATTTCCAAGTTCATTATACAAGATAAAATATCTTCTAACTTGGGTTTTAATCTAATAATTATTGATCAAGAACTGTAGCTATTTGCCCATTTGTCAGAGGTCCCTCTAGTTATAAGCCTCAAGAGCAATGCATACTGTTAATTATAGTCCACATTCTTAAAAGTACAGAAGAAAATATCCCAGTGTAATTTTGGATTTACTCATTGTACAGATAATAATCAGTCTTACACTCCTTTGCTCTCCAAGCTGACAGAAGTTGGTTTTGAGACTATATAGCTGTGATGGCGAACCTATGGCATGTGTGCCACAGATGGCACACAGATCCCTGTGTGCCAGCTGTGTGCCAGCTGTTGCCCCAACCCAGCTCCACCGCAGATGCAGGTGTGGCCAGCTGGTTTGGGGTCTCTTTCAGCTGTCCACTTGCTATTTCAGCCTCCATTCCTTGCCTGAGACATCACATCGTTGGAAGGGCCTCCGCAGCTCCCAAAGCACTCAGGCAGCAATCTAAAGAGGGTGAAAACAGCGGATGCCATTTTGAGGTCCCAAACGGCTCCGTAAATGGTTCGAAAGAAGCAGGTGCCATTTTGAGGCTTCAACGTCTCTAAAAACAGTGTGAACAGAGGCAAGTGACATTTTGAGGCCCCAATGACTCCAGGGAGGCAGCAAAGGCAGCAGGTGCCAATCACCAGTGGCTGGTCGTATTCTGCAGTGTAGTGAGATCTTTTCCAGCTTTTTTTGGCCATTATGGGGTTGCTTTATTCAACCCTACTGCTCTCCTAGGCCATATCCCTGAAAAGGATTTAGAGGAAGCAGGGTCATCAGGGATCAGGGCCAACCAGCTAAGGGGGCTGGGGACCCAGCCAAAGCCTCCAAGTCCTCTCTCATGGCAGAAGACCCAGAAAGCTCTTGAGAAGGAGTTTTTAAAGGCCCAAAAGCAGGCTGACCAGGCTATGACAATTGTTCCTTCAACTAACATGATTCAGGCCTCCTGTCCTATCTCCCCCAGAGCTGCCTCCCATTGCGACATATCCTTCTCTGGCTGAGATGTCCCCTGACTCAGAGGGGAAAATTTCCTCCTCGTCCTCTTCTCTACAGCCTACTGAAGGCAGATATTTTTTGATGTTCCCCTCAACAGGGATTGTTCATTTGATCAGGCCACTTCTGCTCCTGCCGATGTCCATGCCAGCCCGAATATATCTGCACCTACTGATATGGCAGCCATCATTGCAGAGGCCATAAAACAAGGCATTGTTGCTGGCTTTCAGCAGAAGCTCTCCTCTAGGTCTTCCAGTAGGCAGAGGCACAAGTCATCTAGGGGCTCACGACAGCCTCCCCTCTCTACCTCGGCCAGTCAAGCGTCTATATTTGGTGATCAGGATACCCTCAGAGATTCAGACTTATCGGAAGACGAGGTTATCACACCTGAGGTCCTGGCATTTGCCGAACTTTTCAAGCCAGACCGGTTCAAGTCACTTCTGTTTAAAGCCAAAAAAGCGGCAAACTTGTCTTCTTCTTCCCAGATTCAGGCTTCCGACACAACTTCTACAGATCCACCTAATATCTTCTTTTCAGAAACAACAGTGGAGAAGGAGGTCATCCCATCTCCGAAATTATTTCTTAACCTGGTCCAGTGGCAGTGGGCCTCTCTGGGGGTGGGTCCTTTGCCCATGAATTTGGAAAAACACCTGTACAAAGTCAGGTCGGATCTCTCCAAGTTCTTCGACACTTCTCAGGTAGATCCACCAGTAGCTGTTCTCTCATCCCCCACAGTAGTGTCTGGAGTTCCTGAGGAGGCCCTCAAGCCCAAAGAGAAAAGGTCAGCACAAACATTAGTTAAGGGCTATCAGGTGGGTGCCTGGGTGGTGCGGGCTTCCACGGCCACCTCATTTTTCTCTAGGGTGGCCCTAATATGGATTCAGCAGCTCCAGGAGCAAATTTCCACCTCTGACACATGCTCCAATAGGGATCTGAATAAGATCAGAGCTGTGGTCGAATATTCTGTGGATGCTTCCTTAAACTCACTTTGCATCCAAGGCATGGCCTCCTCGGTCATGGCCAGGCAGCTATTATGGTTCAAGCCATGGCAAGTTGATGTCCACCTCAAGTGGCACAAACAGCATCTCCCTTTGGAGGTTCTCAACTTTTTGGAATCCCCTTGGATCCTTATCTCATGGAATCCAAGGATAAATGTAACATCCTTTTATCCATATATAAAAACCAGGAAAACCACACTACTCCCTTCTATAGAAGACTTTCACTTCGCCAAAAATAGGTGAGGGGGGCGGGGTGCATGTGCGAGGGGAGGGGAGGCATGGGCGGTCATGTGTGCATTCACGGGGGTCACATGCACATGTATGTGGGGGCGCCTGCACAGGGGCAGGGCACACATGGGGTTGCACGCGCATTGCATTATGGGTGTGAGGACACCCATGTGCTGTCGGTCACGTGCAATTTCAGCACACAATGACAAAAAGGTTAGCCATCACTGCACTATAGGATGTTTATCTCCAACTCTGGCCTGCAGTATTTATTATGGACAAAAATGATATATTTCAGAATATTATTGTCATAATTGGTCTATTTTGCTGTGATGTGCAAAATGGGCCGGGAAAAAAATGAAATAAACACAGTGAATCTCTCTCAATAACAAATGGATTTGTTCATACTGTTCTTTCATAATCCGGGTGGCCAAATCTTGTGAAGGTCACAGAATATTAGTGAACTCGTGAAATGCGAATCAAATTTTCATTGAAACATTTAACGTTTTTCTTAGCGATAGCAGTTCTAGAGGAGTTAAATCATCAGAAGACCGAATTTGCTTTATAAAATAACCTGGGATTTCTATTTTTTTACATGGGTGGATTTACTACTTGCTTTGATGAAGCTTCTGATTTTCTTCCATCTAAGCGCCATCAACAAAGTGATATCACGACATCCTGACATTACACTGACAGGTTGTCAGAAGCTGTAACTGTGATACATCCCTCCATCCCTCTATCCAAAATAATAACAGATGGGATCTAAAATGAATGATTTATGTAACATTTTTTTCAATATAGCAATAGGAATAGCACTTAGACTTATATATGGCACCATAGTGCTTTCCTCTGTTCTCTGGATAGTTTAAAGTATCAGCATATTGCCCAAATATACCGTATTTTCACGACCATAAGCCGCACTGGGTTA